CCCCCCCCCCCCCGTCCCCCCGTCCTTCCTCCCGTACGTCGTGTTTGGCCGTGTTTCGTTCTTTCGCGTTGCTTGTTTGCTATGGGGGAATTGCGCCTTGTGTGTTCTGTGCATTTTCGAAATTGCGGTGGCGTTTTTTTTTTTCACACCTCGCATGAATGATGGATGGCCGATGATATTTTTGGTTGTGATTTCATCGTTTGGGCCGAACTGGTGGGGTGTGCGATGGTGCTTTCTACCCTACCCATCTCTTGGTATTTTTTTCTTTTTTTTGTTTTAATCTCTTGGTATGTCATGTTGTGGTGGCGGCGATCGCTTGGTCCGTACTGCACCGCTCCTTGCTTCTCCGGTTTTCGTATTGCGGCTCGGGAACCAACTTGTGGGACTTTTTTTTTTCGTCGCTTGCACGCTTGGGGTGTTTGTTTATTTCGGTTCTTTACATTTTTTCGTGCGGGTTTTTTACTTCCATTCGTGTGTCGTGTATGGTGTGGCCCCTTTCTCCCTGTTGCCGTGATTCTTGAACGGTGTGAAAAACTTGCCATCATTCGTGACAACAACAACGGCGACAAGAAGGCGCGGGAGAAGACGGTTCGGCTGCGGCTTCAGCGGCGTCAACGGCGACGGTCGACGGTGGCGGCGGCGTGGGTCCCTCCGAAGGTAGGTCAGGTAAGTCGGTGGTTTTGCTGCCATCAAGCGCGGCGGCGGCGGCGGCGGCGGAGGCGGAGGCGGAGGTCGCCATGGGTGGGGGAGGAGTGCGGGGGGAAATTGCAGAGCCAGCGCCCAACAGCGACGGGGGCCCCGCTGCTGCGACAACTGGGGGTGCGCGGGAGGGGGGTGGGCCTGTTCCTGGGGAGGTAGGGGGGAGACAGGGGACACGGGGGTCGCCGGCAGGTGTCGGGCAAGTTCGTAAGGGGCCAGACGGGGAAGACGATGATGATGATGATGATGATGATCTCAAGCCCGTCTTTCTCCGCAAGCGCAAGAAGAGATAATGGAGGGCGGCGATCTCTTGTTCGTTTCTTGCTAGAAGCTGAAAGTAGCTGGCGCCGCACGTGGACGGCGGCGATGACAAGCCGTCGGGAAGAAGCCGAAGTTTCGATAGAGTGTGTGGTGAAGGAGGCAACGGCGGACGGCAGCGGGCGGGTGGGGAATGTAAATATGTTGCGGAAGTCTGTCGAGCGGTGTTGATATTGTGTGCTGTTGGTGTTGTCACACTCCGTGACCCTTGTGTACCTCGTATCCCGTAATCTTCGAAGGCAAAGACAGGGATTGTTGTCGTTGCCACAAGTTAATCCCAAGAGACATATGCTAGAGGCAGACCGTGAGAAAAAAAAGTCTAGAATCGTTCGTGAACAGCAGTTTGAGGTTTTGTCGGTGTTGTAGCCTGCAAGAGGAGATGCTTGGAGCTTGGGCAGACGCTGGGCTACCAGGATTTGTGGTAGGATAAAGAGAGCGTAGAGACGAGCGGCATTATTTTTTTCCGTGAGAGGACGGGCATGAAGTTTATTTAGCAAGAACTTTAGAGTCCGCTCTAAGCTTGCTTGTTCTATAGCTCTGTGTTATGTGTTTGTTGCCGGGAAAGTTGCTGTTCTCGTTGGGCGTGTTTTGCAGTTCTGCCGCCACTACTTGAACAACACAGCAGTAGCGACGAATGATTAAAGATGTGGCGGGATCTCTGGCCAGTCTTTGTGCTAAGTGTTGGTTGTCTTTGGGCGTAAACACCCTTTATTTGTTGTCTTGGCGCTAGTGCGAGATGTCATATCCTAGGTATGATCTTGTTTCCGATGCTTGTTTGTTCAGCAGCAGTGGTCGGTCAGTCAGCATTGCGTGAAATTGTTGTCGTTTTCGATGCTTGTTTGTTCAGCAGCAGTGGTCGGTCAGTCAGCATTGCGTGAAACTGCTGTCGTTTTCGATGCTTGTTTGTTCAGCAGCAGTGGTCGGTCAGTCAGCATTGCGTGAAACTGCTGTCGTTTTCGATGCTTGTTTGTTCAGCAGCAGTGGTCGGTCAGTCAGTATTGCGTAAACTGCTGTTGTGTTTGCTCCCCAGCGATGTACATACTTGTGTTGGCCTGAGTTTTTCAGTACCATATCGTAACCGTTGTTTGTGTGTAGTGGAGTAAGTACAACGCGACAGGTGCAAACCCAATAAATAGTGTTTGGTTTATATTGACGTATGGCAGTGTGCGCGGTGCTGCGATGGTCAAAACAAGACTGCCCCCTCAGGGGTTTCTTGCTCTTTGTCAGGTTGTGCAATGGACAGTTATTGTTACGCTGCGACCTCCGTGGCGAACCCGGCGGCTCTGTGGCATCCATCATTCCATGGGTGCATCATGGTGTGCGCCTCCGTAGACCGTTTTCTCTTGCGTTTGTGATATCGTGAGCCGAAGTTTTGGGTGTGCATCGACAGGGAGAAATTGCCACCTTTTTCAAGCTTGGGACACGGCTCGGATGCGTTTCGTCGGTCCTTGACCGTCTGATTTTTTTTTTTGTCAAAACCCGTGAGAGGGGAATCACACGATCACACCGCCGCTGGTTCACCAACGGGGCCCATGTTTCGTTTCGGGCCGAAGAACATGCCCATGGAGAGGGTCATCGTGCGCTGTTTGCGGTACACGCTATCGCGATGTACTTGGATCTGTTCGAGGAGGGGGCAGCTTTTTTTTGTGGGTCCCACTCATGTTTTTTTTTCTGTACTGAGAGGCTCCGACCCGGGGCGATGCGGAAGAAATCCGCTGAAGTGCATGCGACAAGCATCCGGTACACGAGCCTTTTGAGCGCGAAAATACACCCTCCTTTCGCTTGCGTTTTTTGTCTCGGGCTCAACTTGTCTCACAACCAGACCCAAAGAGTCGCCCGATTTAGAACCGTCGTTAGCGAACCCTTGGCAGTCTTCCCTCGCGCAACGAAGCGCCACACCTCCGATTTAAACGGCCACACCAAAGGGGTACAAACTCGCCGTTCATCCAACTCATCGGCATGTAAATGCTGCTTTCGCCGTCCATGTCTGCGGCCGGTACTTCAACCCTACGGCGTCTCAGCTTTGCTCCACTGCCAGCGCTGCGGCGGCGGCGGTGCTTGGCCCTTCGAAACGCTTCCGCCGGGGCTGTGTCTGCGGCCGGCATTTCAACCCCACGGCATCTCAGCTTTCCTCCACTGCGGAGGAGGTGATGGTGGCCCCTTCGGCGCTTGCAGCCGAACCGATCGCGCTGCCCGCCACCCACCCAGTTGTCCACGCGCTCTGGAAGTTGAAACCGCCGGTAACGCCGTCCACGTCGACGACTTCCCCGGCGAAGTGGAGCCCGGCGACGGTCTTGCTCTCCATCGTGCGCATGTCGAGAGCCGAGAGCGCGACGCCTCCGCAGGTGACGAACTCTTCCTTGAAGGACCCCTTGCCGACGATCTGTTGGCGTCAGCGAGAAACGTAGGTGTGAAGGGGGGGGGAAACAGATGACACCCAACACTGCGGCCACACCTTCGTTGGTAGACGGCGGTCGGTCGGCGGCGATACAGGCAGAAGGGTATGTCCATCGTGTGATGAGTGCAGAAAACAGCACATCGATACACGGAGAGCATTTGACGTTGCTGCACATCTGTTTGGTTGGTCCAGCTGTTGCGAAACGGCAACTTGAGCATCGACCACGTCATGTGCTGTGTGTTCCTCACTGTGAAAACCTCACTGTGAAAACACGCCTCCAGGAAACGGCAGCAGAAACCTTCGCTTAGACTGCAAGCGACGAAACATCCAAAAAATATCAACCAATCCAAAGGTACTTCGTTGTGATGCCCGTTCTTACGGTAAATAGCTTCTTGCAGAGACGGACTCTATGCAAACCGACTGCAAAGAGCTACCACAGCATGGGGTGGTGCTACCCAAACAACACCGGAAAAGCTACGACCAACCTGAAATTCACAGGCTGTCAGCTGCTGCGCCAGGGCCGAGAGCTTCGCCTTCGACAGGTCTGCCCACTTGTCTCCCGCGGCCACGCCCGCCGCCAGCGCCAAGCTCTGCCACAGGCGGCGGGGCAGGCTCGAGATAGAGGGCGGCTGCGGCGACTGTGGTCGTCCTCCCGAACCCACGGAGGAACCTGGCGCCCCGCTGCCAACAACGGGGCAGAACGCGTACACGGTCTTCTTCGCGTTCCTTGTACGGAACGCTTGGAGCTCGTCAAGAGTCTGTGGTAGGGTCGTGATGGTTGTTTATCGTCGTCGTCGAGAAGATGATCACGACCGACAGCGGGGGTTGTTGTCAGCGGTTGGTATTGGCGCGTGTTGTTCCCCCATCGACGACGACCGCCACCACCAAAACAAACCGGAGTTCGTGGGCAGGACTGAGGGTGTCGACGTAAAAAAAAGTAAGAGGCAGGCGCCCCCCCAGCGGCCGTTCACAACATGATTCCCGGAAACGAAGCGAGGGCCCGCACCGCTCAAAATAAATCGATTCGAAAGCTCTACCACAATCGACTCGTCTGCGTGTCTTAGTCCGAGCCCGCAGGGATTGGTCTCAACTGGCGTGCAACGAAGCGCGGACGGTAAGAGCTGAGCTTGCCTTGCTCGGGTTGTTGCCCGCCATCCAGTTCACCACGAGCCTACCCCTGTAGCCGCTCTCGTTCAGCACTCGCGCCCCGAAAGCCGACAGCTTTAACGCGGCCGGCCCAGACACCCCTTCGAGGCGAGTCGCGCACATACCCACACCGCGCGTGCAAAACGACATTGGGGGGGGGGGAGCGAGCGCTGAGTTTTCGTTGCTGCGACGGACTGTTTTGCAGGCGGGGGGTTACCAAGGGAGTGATGCAGCATTCGGGGTAATGTTTTCAAGACGCCGAAAGTACCTGCACCTTGCCATCGAAGGTGGAGATAGATAAACCGTCATCGGGTATTGGGAACAAACGAGAGAAATTTCTCGCAAAATGCGTGCGGTGGATTATCATCCGCTTGTTTGCTACAATCACTATGTCGGCGTGATGCATAGTCTACCATTCTACCAGGTGAGTGCTTCAGCAGACACTTTACACCGCACCTGTATGCGTTATCAAGAGCGGTCCTCGCTGCGTAACGGCCGCTTGTTTCTTCCCCCGTTTTCTCTTCTTCTTCTTGCCACCGCCGGCAGACTCGCCGTTGCCTGCCGCTACTGCCGCCGCCTCCGCCCCTCCCGGCCGAGCATCGTCCTCTCCAACCCCTCCCTCTCCCTCCGCCGAGACTCTGCTCCCGGCCGGTCTTCCTGCCTTCGCGGCGGAGGAACTCTCGGGTTTCTCGTCAGCGAAGAGCTTGAGCTCGGCGTCTTGGACCGACAGCCCGGACAACCCTTCTAACCTGACGAAGCGGGAGGAAACGTGGGGCGAGAAAGCGCTAAAGAGAAATGAAGAAAAACAAAGGCTCTGGGAGGACAGATGCAAGGAAAGAAAACAGATCCGTGAGCGGCATGAAGAACGACCTCGGAGAGTTCCTGGTTGAGCTGTGCTTGTGGACACACCGAAACCAAAATACCGACTGCCTTTGATAAAACAAAAGTATCCGCAAGTATTTTTCCAACGAAAAACAGTTACCACAGTAGCGCGCATCCCATTAGAACTGGGACCGAACGAAGCAAGCGGTACCTCTAGCAGCAAAGCTCGGAGAAACTCACTCGAAATAGAACCGGAGATAGAGTCTATCTGCGAACGGGCTGGCTTACCTCGGGTCTCTGATCGTGAGCGTGAAAAGGCTCGGGACAGGACGTGACACCGCGTGCCCGAGCTTCTTCGCCCAGCCGTGGCCTTCTCTCGCAGCCCCGGTGGCCTGCAGGACGTAGTCACACGCTATTCTATACGAACCCCTACTGCCGTTGCCGCTGGTACTGGTGCTTCTTCTACTACTAGAACTGCTGCTGCTGCTGCTACTGCTACTACTACTATCGCTGCTAGCAGCCCCGTTGTTGTGCGCCGCGGCTGCCACACTGCCTTCCCCTGCTAATGCGATCCCCGCTGCTGATACTCCGAGTGCTTTTCGCACAGCAGGCGGGAGCGGTGTCACCGTGGCGAACTCCAGCTCAAACCGCGGCGGCTGTTGCTGCGGTTGTGCTTCGACACCATCGGTGCCATCGGTGGCAGGACCGGCTTCCGCGGGTTCGGCTCGACGTTTGAGCACGGACGTGACTCTTGCAGAAGTGACGACCTCGACTGAGGCTTCGCGCGCGGCTTCTGCGCTCGGGGCGCAGGAGGTACAGAGAGGGGTAGCAACGGCAAGCGGCGCCAGGACGGGTAAACGGTTCAAACTGCTGGTCCCTCCGTGCTCTCCTCGGCTGGTTTGAGAACCCTCAGACGTGCAAGCAGCCGGTGTTCATTGCCTACAGAGCTACACAACGACTGAGACGACGAGGAACTTCTTTACCTTCCAGGCAGTCGATGATTGTCTGGCTATCGTCCGTGACAGGAAACATGCGTCCATCTCCCTCCGTTTTGAGCCTGACCCCCCTCGAGCCGAACCACGCGGCGGCGTCCTCCGGCCCGAAGAGAGACTTAAATGGCCCAATGAGTTGCTTGCTCCCTCTGGGATACCCTTTGGCGATGAGCGACACCGCCTTCATTCGCAACAGCAGTGGCCAGTCACACAAGTAGCGGGGGAATCGTACTCTTACGCACTCGAGCTAGATGATGGGAAGTTATGAATGCACGGAACGCTCTGGTGCGGCATGCAGCATTAGAAGCCAAGGCACACGATACAGCAGTGTCATCTAACGGGAACACCGCGAGATAGCGTCCAGTTGTTGTACACCAGGCAGCGGGAACGCGGGGTGTGATGCTACGCCTTGACATTCGCTGCTTGGACCGATACCGTTCAACAGCAGTTCAGTCCCCTTCAACTCGCATAGGCACAAGCAGATGCTTGGCGCATTGCGTCGCACTTCCCATCAAAACCCACTACTACGGCGGTACGACACACCTTTGCGCTGTCATGCATCACGTTGCACCGGCCTCCGCCTGATATCTTGACCTTTTGGAGAGGTAGCTTGGCTGCCTCGAGCACGATCACGTTCAACCCACTTGTGCTACTAGCGGCGGCTTGAATGGCACCGAAGTAGCCTGCTGCTCCCCCTCCAATCACCACCAGTGTTTTGTGACCACCATCTACAGCCATTGCCGTCCTTGCCCCTGCTGGCCTCGCGGAACGACATGACCTGCTGCGAGCGCACCACGTTCGGCTGTTGCTGGTGGTGTCTCGGAGCAGCGTCCTTGCCCCTGCTGCTGCTGCTGCTGCTGCCAATGGCCTCGCGGAACGACATGGCCTGCTGCGAGCGCACCGCGTTCGGCTGTGGTTGGTGTTGGTGACGAAGCTCCGAGCCACCACCAGCAAGTAGCAGGCAACAAGAGCGAAGCTTGGTGGCATTGGCCACGATCGTCGGCGCTGTTGGCGTGCCATGGCGGTTGAGCGAGGGACATGCAGTTGAAATCGTGTGCAGAACAATACACAAGACACATGCGGAAAGCAGAGACCGCACGGGACTGTCAATTGTTTTGAAACGGCACATCTTGAATTCTCATTTTTTCGCGCCCGAATTGCGTGGTGTCGACGGCGCGACACACCGACCACAACGCTCCCCCTGGTGCCTACAGCGGCAGGTAGCGTTCGTCGTAAGCATCGTCCTCGATGGGGATGATCTACGAGGATGAACGAAACTGCGGTCTTCCGCCGACTGTTACCGCTGTCTACTGGCTCGATTAGAGGAAGAAACAAGCGGGTGTCGACGGATAAACAATCATGACGGCCGACGGCGTTCATGATGTTGACGGCCATGAGCGTCCAGAGTCGTCAACCACGGGGATATCGCCGAAGAATGATCCTAAACCGCGTTTCCTTGGAACCATCGGTAACCTTAAAACCAAAGGCCAGCCAGCCTCGACTACCAATGAGGGGAACGTTTTGGGAGAAAAGGTTGCTGGCCATGAAATCCAAACGGGCAGGAGGTACGATGAGGCGGGCGAGAGTGAACCGTGGCTTCGAGTTGGTGCGCCCTCTGCTGATGCCGAAATCACCCATATGGCGCAGGTACGCCCATCTTGAGCGGTGTATCGGCAGACAGACCTCATAGCACCAAAGTAGTCCAGTGTGTTCATCTGCAGCTGCGGAGTTTGCCCTTTACAGGTAGGCAGATGCTGAGAGCATATTTACATGTACATACCGTGGTCTGCTTATCACAAACAGCTGTACATGCACAGCGTGCAACGTACATGCAGTCATCACGGAGATCTTACACCGGTTATTGTTATACTGCTTGTTTATGCAGTCTGTATACTATAGACCAATCGGAGAGTTTAGCCGCAAACGAACGCTCGATCGACGGCGATATAGAGCTAGTCCCCGACTTTTGTCGTGTCATCCCATCAAGGTCACGTGAAGCAAGCCCCTTGCAACACACCGAGACATGAACCCCTGACAATTCTACTATTGAAACATCTCTTGTCTCTAGGAATTGAAAACTTAAGCCACAAGGATTACTTAGAGATATAGTCCTCAAACTACAGCGGTTTTTGGTCTTGGCATGTCTTTCTCCTCATGGAATGGATGAACAGACCCCGGGGTTGTTCACAAGCATTCCAGACGGTGGCAGGGCTAGACAGGGCGCTCTGACATGGCTGGTACAATCGAGAGATGATCAGACGGAGTAGCCCCACGACAGGAAAAGGCCGTGGAGTTCTTCTCCTCTGCTTGCTCGTCGTGTAGTCATGTTCTTCTGTTCTCCTCTATGTTTTGCAAAGTGAGTCAGCTCCTACTTCTGTGCCCATCAACCACGCCTCCCAATGGAAGCACCTACGGCCCGCCAAAAGGATTGTATTCATACGTAAGTGTCAGAAAAACATTGTGTTGTTGTTTCAAACTTCAACGACGTATATCAAGGTTTACCAAACAGTTTATGCAACGTTGCTTGTTGTCTGGGTTCCGGAGTAGCTAGACCATGTTATCAGGTTGTATTGTGAATCAGAGCATGTGTTGGGTGTTGTTGGGACCACCGCCGTCATGTTACGGGTTGTTGAGAGGTCCCCTGTACATACCCCATTTGCGACGTTGCGTCGCGGTTGGAATACACCCGCGCCACCAAAACAGCTGGAACGAGAGCTCGGCAATCAACCGGCCGAGAGCACGGCAGATGCGGTTCAGATTCCAGAGCCTCGTCACGTCAAGTACGCCACCGTTATGGCCAAGAACTTACGACGCGGCAGCCACCGGTGAGTGATTGAGTAGGGTATGCAAAGCACCTAAGTCGCACGACCTATTGCTGAATGTACTTCGAGATGGTTCTCGCTTTTTCCAACAGCAGCATAGCCACATGGCATTCCCAAATGGAAGTATGCGCATACGCAAACGAGTGAGTGTGTATCGGTCAACCCCTACTCTAACATCAGCATCAGTCTTGATGCCGGTTCTCGAAGAAATTAAGTAGACACCTTGCCAAACGGACGGTCGCCCCGAAGTGGACGGCAGCCGTCAACCAGAGCGCACACAGCAGTCGCCCACGATTCAAGCACTTCTAGGCATGTACCGATAGATAACATACAGCACTTCCCGTTCCCCCCAGGAAGATTTAACTCCCGCAGTAATTGACCTGTGCCCCTTTGCACACGCGACGACGAACCCTTCAAAACGGAACCAACAACGTCAGTCCCACGCCCCGCCGAAGCGTCGACAAAGCCCGAATGACACCAGACGAGCGCCGAGAGCTGATGCGCGCACAGCGGGAGGTAATGTGGAACCTGCAGAAGGACTCCATCGTGACAGTCGTTAGCCCCGGCGACGACCCCGTTCCTTACAAGAGGCAGGGGAATCCCGACGTCAACACGCCGCTGTCCGTGAAGCGAAGGCAGGCTTTGAGGAAGAAGCCCCTCATCCAGGTGCACCATTGAACGTGGTTTGTGTACCGCGCGACTGCGCGCGCACACCCTACGTGTGATGTGTGCTACATTACCAGTACCCTGCTTTCGCTCGCGACTGGTACTCTGCGGTTTGATATCAAGGAGGGAGCGACGTAGAGGTTAGCTGGTGTTTTCATGGCAACAAATCGAAATATCCATGGCCCACCAACCAGCATTCTTCTACCCGATCATCATCATGTCCTTGTCTTTTTCACCTCACGCTTCCTGTGCTCCCCGGTATGGGCAGGAAATTAGCAATGAGTACTGGTGCTTTCCAGGGCTGAACCCGGAGGGATCCTACGAGATGACGAAGGAGTCCTACCTCAAGCTCAACCGAAAGCTTCACCTGGCTCTGGTGCGGTAATGTTGCCATTGCTACTTAACGTTGTTGGTGCTGTTGGAGCGCACTGCTGCTGTTGCCGCTGCTGGTGATAGGGTTGATGTTGGCGTTGTTCGGTGGTCATGGTGGTGTTGATAGATGTTATTGTTAATCCTGTTGCTGCCGGTTGCGTGTTTTTTCTTGCTGTGCTCAACCTTCAAAGTTTCTCAGTACCGTTTATCTTGACGTACTACCCCAGCATCGCTCATGGAAATCTCGCTTAGCCACCGCTGGTTTGCCGAAGGCAAAGCTGCCTCGTTTTACTGCACCTCCCCCAATATCTACCGTGATGTGTTCGACAGATTCCCGACACCACGGATGCGGAAGCCCGACATTCGGCCGAGGTAGACTGGCTGAGGGACACAGCGAGGTGGGGTGGTCGAATGACCAGGCAGGCGTTCGGCTCGAGCATGTTCGAGCTGGCCGACATCTGGACGGAAAACATCGATGAAGAGGAGGTGCGCTTAACTTTCAGAAACCCGTTTGTTTTCGACGCCCGGGGTTGACTGCTCGAAAACTGTTTGTAACTCCGAGGTTTGCACCCTGATTTCTCGAAGCAGTCGCATCAAAAGCTGCCTGCAGTGTTTTCCGACCTCATTCCCCCCTTTGAGAGTCTTGCCGCTCCCAGCATCCGGATCACAGAGCGATTCCTTCAACTGTATCGATGTTTTGCACTAGTACGGTGTGGACTCCGACGAATCTATTGCTGTTTCCGTCGAATTCTCGCCAATACTGTTTTCGCTGGACGCGTTCTTCCCCCCCCGAACGTAGTACACTGCCTTCCTGTGGTTGCTGCTCGAGACCATCACCAACACCAATGTCGTGCCGCCGAGCTTCAAGCCGGACCGGGAGATCGAGTGCATTGTAGACAAGGATCTGTCTGAGGCTACCAAGCGGATCCGTGACTCGTTCGCCCGTGGAGAAGGACGGTAAGAAGGAGCAAGCAGCAGCTAATTCACACATAATATTTCCGACTACGTAAGGTGCATGTCGCGTGCCTGCATCCTGACATGCGAGCAAGGGGGGTGAGAAGGGGGGTGGGAGTACTCATAGTCGTGCATGCCGCAGTCGTTAGACCATTGACCTCGCATCCCCACAAAGCCGGGACGGAGCACGCCGGGTTGTCACCGGACTAGGCTCTCACATCACCAAGCGTGACGCGCCGTGAGGTAGTCGGCGAGTCGCATGGAGGGTGTGCTGCATCCTGCTAGGGGGGTGAGAAGGGGGAGAAAATTAGGGCCCGAAGTCCGGCATCCTGTTTCAGTTTCTCCACGAGGAGCATTACTTGAATCGACTTATTAGACTGATCCGATCGACACAATCTATTTGCAACAAGCGATTGCCGCCGAGAAGCTTGTGATATTTTGCTGCGGAGTTGAGCCTATTGATGTCGTTCAACTTCCGGATGGCCTGTACACAAGCACCTGACATTCTTAACCGCTAAATTGCATACAACCAGGGAACGGCTCTCTGTCCCGCTCGACACGGACGCGATCTTGGCCGTACTAGCCGACAGCCGTAACGCTCGAGGAAACAGCCTGTCGCCCAAGCTGAAGGACAAGCACATCAAGCGCTTGAGAGCTCTGCGACAGCGGCTGCAAGCCCTCAAGCAGCTCCGAACCTGGCCAGCCCCGGGAAGAACGGGCGACGACGACGACGAAAAGCGTGGCGGTGGAAGCGTTAGTGGCAGCGGTACGGGGGACGCGGAGGACGTGCAGGGCGAGGGGGGCATTGACAACACGGGAAATGTTTCGAGCGAGGGGGGAGAGGACGCGTACAAACAGAAGGCTTCGATCAACGGGGCTACCGAACGTAACGACGAGTTTCTCGCTCCTCGTCAAGAACCAAGGAAGGACGCTGCTGACGGCAGATTTGCTACTACGGACGGTGAAGAGGAGGAGCATGCGGTTGCCGTTGGGGAGGGCTCGTTATCCCACGCTGGGGTGTCCGTGGGAAACGAGATGCGAGTTGGCGAGTCAAGTGTTTCTGTTGAGAAAGGCGGGAGTCTCGAGACAGGTGTTGACACTGTGCAAAGCGTGGGTCGGGCTCGAGACCCAGCGCTGATCAACGCGGAGGACAGTGGGGAAGCACGCCCAAAAAGCAAGACCAACCACGTCAATAGCAGCACGAAAAATCGCAACAACCAACAGGACAGCCTCGACGACTTTGGCGACCGTCCGATCGGCGATGACACGAAATACAACCACCTTCCGGACCTTGATGCACGTTCTTCGGGCACTCCAGAAACCACTGGTCGCCTTCGTCACGGAGAGGGGGCTTCAGTACCATCATCGTCGAAAGCAGCATCAGGTTCCATCGAAGAAAATTCGTCAGATTTAAGCGAAAATGTTCTTCCGACGAAAGAAGGTGGCAGTCGCGCACTTGGAGAGGAATCGGTCACCAGAAACGCACGAAGCAAGCCCGAGGAGACAAGAAGTCCCGGAGTAACAAGGCGAGAAAGAAGGGAAGATCCAGACCGCTTTGAAAACACCAGTTTGGTCGAAGACCAGCTTCTAGTAGGTGGGAGCAACAAGAACATGTCAAATACTGATACTCTTGGAGTTGTTCGTGGGGGTATCCATGGTTTGAACGGCCCCAGCAGAAGTCACGGTGAAGGTGGGAGCGACCGGCATGCTACTGAGTACGCCAGCAACGACGACGGAGCAGTAGCAGCAGCAGGAGGAGGCGATCTTGGAAACGACGGTTCTCTGACAAGTGGTGACAGGCGCGAAGGTGCCGACCGTGCTGGAGATAAGAACTATGTTGCTGCAAGTAGTGCCGACAAGCGTGGCGTCGGCGGTCACAACAACCCAACATTCGGTAAGGATGCTTCCGTTGGCGGCAGCTCCGAAGCATTGGTCGATGGCTGCTCCAAAAGAGCTGCTGGAATAGTAGGAGGCGCGGGGCAATCAACTGACAAGTTACTTCCTGCTGGTAGATCCGATGGCGTCGTTGGTGAGGCGGTTCGTGAAGGGGGCACTGCGACCGATGCCACACAAGGCAGCGAATCTATCGGAAATCGTAAGCGCGAGAGAACCGCCGCAGGTGCCGTGCAGAAACAACGGGACGAAGATAACGATGGTGACGGTGCCAACGGCGAGGTGCCTACGAACCGCGGGAACAGCAGCAACAACAGCAATACCAAGGGCGCTAGGCATGCTGAAACCGACGGAGTTTCCACTCACCATCCAGCGCGCCTCAACAGCGGCGGTGGAGAGGACGCGTTGCCCAACGGTGAAATACTCGACACCGGCCAAAACAGTATTCCCGGTAGCCGGATTGGACTGGGCAGGAACGGCGATGGAACGGTCGCCGACTGTGACGGGCGTGAAACGGCCGAAGATATTGAATATGCACACGCTCATGGAAACCTCGACTCAGACGGGCCGGTTGGACCCGAGAATGACCGTCAATCGCCCTCCGCCGGCCACGACCGTGAAGCTTTCCGTACCGGGGGCAACAAACGAGGGGGAACTACACCTGCAGCGGCCGCATCGCTCGCGACCAACCACGGCGAAGGCGACCATGCCACCGACGGCGTCCTCAGCCACGAGGGGGGAGGGGACGAGGAAAGCGTGCACGTTCCTCACGGGGGAGGGATGAGCCGGTGGTCGTTACGTACACCCAGCAGCCAATCCGGTGTTGTTCCGTGCGCGAAGCGTGAGGAAGGCTCATTCGATGGAGACTTCAACAGCACGACCAGCATGAGCAGCGGCGAGGAGTGGAGGCTGTCGTCGTCGCAGACTGAGGATGGAGGAGAGATAGGCGCAGGAGGGGTCGAGGAGCAGGTGGGTCGTGGGGGATCAAGAGGCGCTCGCGGTGGTGGGCAGGGACGACGCGTTAGGGCCTCTGGTGACGCGGATACGGGAAGAAAATATGATGCCTTATCCTCGGCCGACAACAAAGGCCACCCTTCTAGGCGCCAGGTGAGTGCTTCAGAATCGTCTCCAAGTTGCCTGGCTGGAAAGGTTAGCGAGTTTTTTTGCGCAATGGAGAGCACCCGGCATGGTCCAAAGGAAACACAGCTTGACTTTACACCAATCGAATAATGATTTGCAGAAAAAGAACAAGTACAAATCACGTGGTTCTCGCACACAAGTCATCATGGTGAGCATGCACCACACACATCCACCACACACATACACATCATTGTGAACAACCACGACGCATCTGTATCGCTGTGGAGGAGAGGGACACAATAATCCGTTTCGCGAAACACGCTCAGGACAATTTAGATATTATCAACAACGGCAGAAGAAATCGCGCAACTTTGGTTGCTGGGGCATGCTACAAAACAACCAAGAATGCCGATTCTATGTATTATCACCACATTCCTGGCGTGCCCCTGTTTAATACGGAACGGGTGTAATTCAACCCCCAAGATCCAATGTAGCACCTCGTGCGCTTGGCAACTTGACACGGGCCCGCGTGTGGAGCTATCGCAGTCGGCTTTGGAAGAAGATTTCATTCTCTTGGCGTTGAATCCCCCCGAAGACACTAACAACCTATAGGAGAGGCGATGATTCGGATATTTTCGGAAAACAAGAAAACCGTCGTGGTAGAGGTAGCAACAAACATTGGTGATGCTCCCTCACACACGCATCCGCGAACCTCTCTCTCACTCACGCGCGATGTCGGAGACAGCGGTATGTACAATCAACAAACACTTTTATGGATCCCTGAGCCCTTCTGGTGCCAGCCGTGACGATTGTTACTTCGTCAAAGAAGCATGTATCCCCGGCGAGACGTTTGGGGAAACAACAACTCGGGGGGACTCAAGAAGGGGGGCAGGATCGAAACGTTGTTTCCCTTGGGGGACATTCAATATTAGACGACGTGTTGCCCGATATTTTGGCGGGGTGAAAGCACTCTGACCCGGGGGGGATTCAATAATCAACTATTAACTATGTAGATTAGCACGGCCGCACCTAACGAGAGGTTTCAACAGGAAAAGCTGCTGTCTGACAAATGTATCACTCATCCTGCTATGTAATTCAATTCGTTCGCTATCTCGTCTGCCGGGTGTCCTCGATCGACGCAGAGTTCTCGGGGATCGTTCGGGGCAAAAGTCAGCGCCAAGAACCACGGCAATACGTCTACGCTGTCGAAAGGACCGCGCGGCGGTAAGCCGCTGGCATCCAACTTCCGCCCGGGAGGAGGCGGTGGCGGTGGCTGGGACGGGATCTCGGGGACTACGGACGCGGTAAGGCTGGGCACGTAGATACGTGGGTCACGGTGGGCTTGCATTTCATGACGCACAAGAGCAATCTGACCGTCCTCATTGTACATAGTCCATGGCGTGAGGGGCCAGAGAGCTGCGACCTAGACAATTTTCAGACCGTGTCACGGCGCCCCCATCTATACCCTGGACAATTACTTTACGCGTTGTCCTGAACGATATGTGCGCTGCCTACCCCGAGAGCAGGAGTGGGAACAAATGATTCAGCAAGCCAAGACAGAGCGAAAGCGGCGGGCATCCACAACGAGGCCTGTATCGAAGCAAAGTTCGGCAGCGAGAAGAAAACGTCCATCCGGGTACGCACACAGGGTCGAGCTTTGTTCCGATACGATACACCTGCCTTGCCTTTTCGACACCGGTAGGCCTTGCCTACTGTTTTCCGCACTCTGACGCTAGGTGCGTGCGTCGGGGTGTGCACATGCTGCTACGTTTTCCCTGTGCCTACGCTGTGGAAGAACTCTCCATTGGATGAGACGTTGATTTCGACGTGTACGATCTATGAACAGCGATGTGTACGCCACGCCTATCGCTGAATGCTGCAGTCGAGCTACATATCTCATTGCATCCCGGCGGCACCTGGCAATAATAGCTGCAACACAAACCAGCAGCGGAACGGCGAAGTTTCGGCCGAGTTTTGCCGATAAAATGCCGCTCACTCACCGTAACTCGTGTCCCACGCAGGCAAGTAAAGGGTAGAAAGGGTTCCACGGGAACTACAAAAGCAGCGCCTGCAGCACAAGGAGCTCCTTCGGAGGAGGAGACCTATGGGCGGGTGGCACCCGTGAAACCACGCGCTGGTGATATCAGGTCACGGGATGGGGGGGGAGGGGACGGCCAGCACGATCCCACGCTGCCCCGTCTGTCCCTTGTCGAGCATGCATCTAAGGGTGGTTCGGGTCCCTCGAAGGAGACAAAACAGACAGCAGCGGCGGCGGCGGGCGAAGGGGGGATTGGGGAGAAGTCTGTGGCCCCGTTTTCTTCACCGACTCCGAACGAAGCGGAGTCTCATCAGACAGGGGAAGACGGTGCCTCGCGGGGAAAGGGCTTGGAACCTGACTCGGTGGTCACGCGTGGTCAACGTCACCATGCGGAGGTACCGAGAGTTGGTATTGGGGGCGACAAAAGTGGCCGGGACTCCGATGGAGAAACGGAGCTCAGAGAATTCACCGCCCCTGAGATGTTGAAGGGAGGTGACGTCGCTACAAAGGCTGCCGGTGCGAAGGTACGCCCGCAGGCGGACTAGCCTCGCACCTGTGCGGGCATTTGTCATTGGTGTCTCACAGTCAAAAGGGGCCTGCTGTCAGTATTGCTATGTAGACCAAAACGTTTGCTGTCTTCGTGGGGTATGTCGAATCCAGTATCTAGGAAGTGCTCAACGCTGTCCTTCTTGGTCGTGAGTCATTGTGCTCAAAGAAGCGGAGGTCGAATCGATCCCTGTGCCCCCTACGTACCTCCAACAGGGAACGAGGACCTCAGTGGGGCCACAAGAAGAAGATGGTCGAAGGAACGGGAAGGAACACTTGATACCACAAGACATGCTCGGTCAGTTGCGCAGTTGATATCCCCCGCCGATATCGACCTGCTGGCGCATCTTATGATGACTGGTAGGGTCGTGTGCAGCATCGCGGGTAGACTACTCCGAGCGTATCACAACCCGTTGTACGCGTTCGCTTTTCATGCATTGCGAAACAGAACGCGAGTAGCCGCCACGCCGGCATGCGGTAGCACCACTGCACTAGTATACACTGTTGTCGGCACCCAAACCACGTGTACCGTCCCATTCCCTCCTTCGTTCCGCACGCCCTAAACTGTGCGAATTCAGCGCAACTTCAACCGGTGCTAGAGAAGCACAACATGACCGTCGTTGACGTTTTTGACGGAAGCTCGCCGGCGTTAGACCCCCAGGGATCCTTTTCGCTCGACGCTCAAGGTCCGCCAGTGAAAAACGTTGTCGTCGGTGGCAGCGACATGCTCACACAACGCGCCCCAGTGGCTGAAACAGGCTCTACCTCTCCTGATGGTTCTCCAGGTGGAGATGACCTCGATGCCTCGGGAGGGGTGGGGCCGAGAGTCACTGACGCCGAAACTGCCGTAGCTAATGCACGCCATATGACCATTCAAGAAGAGACCGGATGGGCGCAATCGGGAGAGGAAACTCGCGCTGCTAGGGACGGCGGTGCCGGGTATGCGCCCACGGGCGAAACCGGGGAAGCCCAACAGCTCCTCACCGGGGGGATGGTAGCCCACGCAGACGACCAACGCCGTACGCTAGAGCCTTCTTCTCAGGAGAACGGAGGGGGTGAATTGGCCGACGCCGCAAGACGTCTAGGCACAGCTGTTTCCCGCCGAGATGCCGAGCGCAAGGACGACGTGGAAGCTGAGACCAACACCTCACGGCTTCCACGAGGAAGAAGTACGTTCGACAGCAACAGTGGCACGACCTCCCCCGACCTATTCGACGATCAAGGGCACGGGTTTCTCCCCACCGGACAGAACAAGCTTATGGCTCCGCCGAGGCATATTGCGGCGGCGGAATCGGCAACAGATGTTGGGCAAGGAACTTTAGGGATGCCCAAGTTCAACTCAAGCATTGATGCCACGCGAGAGGGCGAGCCTGCCAAAAGACCGCCTGGCCCCCACCACGACTATCAAGAGGGTGCGCGGCCACGAACGCGGTCAGGGTCAAGGGCAGGGAGAATGGGTTGCGAATCAACCGGTGGCGGCGACGATATTGTAATCAAGGAAGAGGCGGCCGAAGGGGAGAGCTCGACCGGGGAGGTGCCGATAAACGACCAGAACGAGATGACTGCAGCCACGACTGACCGTCATCACGGACCGAACCGCTCGAATCTGCTCGAGGCGAAAGGGGTTAGCGGTTCGTTACACAGGAGAGGCGAGCATCCAACGTTGGGTGAGCCGAAGAATGGTCGTGATGCGGTCCAACGCAATGACGCAGGCCAAAACAACAGCGTTGTTGGACCTCTGCTGGCTCAGGGGGGCGCTAGCGGTAGCAACTTGGGCATGGAAGAGGGCCGTAGCCACGATTGTACTCCTCGACCGTCCTCTGAGGAACCACTTGACGCCCCTGAGGGTCGTATGGCCTCTTCCACTACCGACTCCTTTGCCGGGGCCGACGACAGCGAGAAAAACGCACTCGCCACGGGTTCGTGGAAAGGTGACAGCACCACGCTCGACAGGGCAGGGCAACCAAGAGGAGGAGACAAGGACCCGCACCCGCCAAGATTGGTTCCGAATTACCTCGTATCTCCCGACCGCCACCCGACACAAGCCGACGGACCAGGTACGGGCGACGTGAACAACCGCTCGGTATCGGGTGGGGTTTCTGCTGCGGTACAGCAACACGTGGCAGCTCCTCCCAAAAGTCGATCGACCATGGATCGGGGTGAAGTCCTCAGTTCCATTTCTGTCGCCGGCACGAAGATGCTGATGGATGCGGAAGCGGGCGGGAGACACCGACAGGGTATGTTAGGCGCCGGGCCTGGGAGAAAGAGTTCCTACGCGGGGGGAACAGAAAGACCTGAAATCTTGCGGCGCTTGTCGTCAACCGGCGTGTGGAGGTGCGATGATTCCGTGAATCAATCGGAAAAGGACGCACCAACAGCGAAGGCATCGACCAATCCCTCGTCCCGAAACTTGGAGGTCGGCGACGATGTACTCGCTACAGTGGATGGTCGGGCAGCCGCCCTGGTAGCGCAGCCTGCCGGAGAGCCCAGAAGAGCCAGTCGACGGCTTCAACGACAAAACAGCACCCAAAGGACCACAGAAGCCGTTGGATCATTCGACCAGAGGGCACGCAGCCCGTCCAATGCTTCAGTTGTCCGGAATTCCCACGCCACATCATATCCCGGAGAACTAATGGTAGACGATCGCGACGGGATCGTTGGCCGCGCCGCCGCGTACAACGCAAACGCCGCAGGCAACAACAAAGCTCCTTCGGGGGAGACTGGCGTGCTGGGGGGCGGGGAAATTGCGGAGACGAGAAAGGAGCGCGCGGAAGGCGGGGGAGTGACATTGACGAAAAATCGCCGTTCTTCGGCAGAGAACGTCAATAAGGGAGCAACAACGAACACTTCTCCCGACGGGGCCCCCCGCATGGGAAGTGAAGACGCTATGGCCCTTGAGCCACAGCGAGGTGCTCATGGGAAAGCAATGGCGGCCGTAGGGCGTGTACGATCGTCGACCAAACTCGATCCTGATTTCGAAACACTGGCAAACGTGCCCCTGACTAGTGTTCAGTGCGCCGGCGCTGACACCGAGGACCCGGAGCCAACGCGCAGGAGAACGGGAAACGGAGAAGGTGGGGGCACGGCTGATGTAGGAAGCTGGTCGATCGATTGCCAACATGCAGAAGAGAAGGATGCCTTGAATGTACCTGCTGGTTTCGTGGGAAGAAGCAGCAGCAACAGCGATCACAAAGGAATTGCGGTCGTGCCTCGTGAGCAGCAAGAGGACGAGGACGAGGAAGCAGCGACAGCGCGTCTCGTTGCAATGGACAGAGAGAATTTGGCGATGGCTGTGGCGCGAAGAATATCTGACATATCTGGTATGCAGCTCGAGGAAGCTCTTGCCGAGGTACGAAGCGCAACGAAAAGTGACAAAGCTGGACAGCGAGAGCGTCGACCGGTTGCAGTGGAGGTGAGAAGCGAGGTGACCTCCTCGACTTGGGCGTTGAAAATGTCGACCGTTTGTTCGACTTTTCTTTCGAAGGAATAGAACGCAGACTTTTGGGTGGCTTCGAACTGCAGAATCCGTGTTCGTGACTGCAAGATGGCGTTGTCCTGCGTGAGATACGGCTGTTCGAATTTCACGCACTCTTGCTCATTGTCACGCCGGGTGTTCTGCTTGGGGGCGTGTCCATGATGTTGCAGGATACAATGCCAACGGTGCCGTCAGAGAAAACCTCAGAGGCGCTTCGAGCACAGCGAGCTCGAGCACGTCCCGCGACCAATGGCAAGACTGCATCTACCGCAAGAGCGGGGAAAGCACTTTCGACGGTGAATCCTCTTCAACGGCAGAGGTCACGAGACAATGAAGAGTCCCGGAAGTCTCTACCGCCGTCCACTCAAACAAGCAAACAGCAATCGATATCTCCGGGCTCTCACGCAGAGGTCCGAACCGGTGGGCGGGAAGGCATGGTTTCGTCTGGTCCCAAGGCGGGAGAAGACCACCCTTACAACAATAGGGTGTCTCACACACATGGTAACAGCAATACGGCTGGTTTAGGTCGTCTTCGACTTCCAGAAACCGGAGTTAGCAGCAAAAACAGAAGGCGGCCGCTATCGGGGGACAACGGAAAACCCGACCGAAAAACGATAGCTGATGAGGGAAACGGTGGGGGTGGGAGGAAATCAAATAACACCAATTCTACGTCAGGTGTGCGTGTTGCAGCACCTAGGGAGAGTGCAACTCGAGTGCCATGGGATCGGTCGCATCCAAAGCAGTTCCCCGACACGCAGCTACGCAACGGTTCCTTCCGTGGCAGTAGGACTCCTGGAGATGCAGGGGGCGCGTTTTGTGGCGACAGGGATCGACGGGAAATGGCGGTCCTCGCCGCCGCGCACAACACAAATGAGAGCGAGCCTCTGCCTGGCCCGGCCGAAGGGACTGGAGCCAAGCGGGGGACAGGAGGCAACAGGAGTTCTTGGGGGGCGCCGCCTAGAGATGTCCCCCAGAGGACAGCTAGACGACCAACGACCGCTAAAATCGCTGATGACGCTTTCCGAAATGCCAATCGACGCAGAGCTGGCGGCGAAAATGACCATGTTGCCGAGAAGAACGAACCAACTGGCGGCGGTCACGGTACCGGGTCAACCCGAAGTGCCGACCACGGGTCAACCCGAAGTGCCGACCACGACCCTTTCGCTAGAGAACAACCTGGCGACAGGTATTACCTGCCCCCGCCTCAACGAAACCTTAACCAGCGCACGTCCCAGGACAACACCGGTGACACCACCAACAGTGGTAGCACTCCCCGGCACCGGCAACACGACCAAAGGCGAAAAGATCGGCAGGAGCGGCCCCGCCAGGTCAACGAGGGCGAGAGACAGCATAGTACGACGAGGAGGAGTCGTGCCTCGTCGTCATCCGTAGATCAGAAAAGGGCGAGCTTCTCCTCGTCCGACCGACTCTACGGTCAGCAACCGGACGACCACCGTCCCATGCTCGGGGCGTCCGAGACATCGGGCTTGTCGAAGACACCTGATTGGAGATATGGCTGGCGCGGTGGCCCGTTCTCTACGAACCCGTCGACGCCCTCTCAGGAAGAGGAGTCCTTGCCGTACTATGTGGACCGCAAACAGGTGTGGGTTGGACGAGTGAAGGATTGTGTTCGGTTCACGCGATTCCATGCCGTTGACTCCGAGGGATTATGGTTCGTCCGTCGGTGCCAGCTACAGTCATTGAAGCACTTGCTTGATGTATTCGCTAAACTCCGTTTATCGGAATCAGGCCCGGGGTCTCAAGGGATTGATGCTTAACTTTGTCCCTAATCGAGTGCATGAATGGGGTGGCCGGTTTGTGAGACAACAACCTCCTGTGAACAAAAAGCCCCCGAGGGTCAGATCGTCCTCCGGTTTTGAGGATTCCTGTCGTTGCCATTTCTGACAGGTATGGCACTATGTCCCGGACGACGGGCTACCACCTTGGAGGGACCCTGGTCCCGGAGAGCCAGGGTGGGAACCAATCTTAAACTACTGCGAAGTCAAGCCGGATGAAGCGGAGGTTTTGGAGGTAAGGGCAAGACCGGCAGGCCGCCGTGGACTTTGAGATCGAAGAAAAAACAACTGGATTGTGTCTCATGTGCCGTTTGAACCGAGGAAAGAAGGGTCGAAACGACAACGCTATGAGGTAGAAGAGCCCGAACGAGGATACCGTCACGGTGTCTGAGTTGTCCACGGCATGTTTAGGGTTCCCTATTGTTCCACCTTCAGGCCTCACACGAGCCGCAGTACTCTTGATAGGTAATACAATACCCCCGTTCCGCACAACCGGCGAAAATACAGTGGCCCTTACCGTTCGTTCCTTATAACACGCGCTAAATAGGAGCGGAAGCGTCGCGACTTCCTGTGCGACAGGCGAAGCCGGAGCCGAGGTGGTGATAGCGGCGACTGGAGCACCACCACGGGTGCGTCCTCGTCCCTAGGCGGGCGGGGCAAAAGAGTAGCGAACCCAGAAGGCCAACCTTCATCCGTGCGTCCAACAGCGGATTCCTCGGTGGCGTCGGGAATGACCGGTGGAGGCGACAGCCTAGGGAGTGGAGAAGGGGACGAGGAAGGGGACGAGGAAGGGGATAATGGCGAAAAACCCGCGAAATTGGTCGAATTTTCTATTGCCAAGAGGGTCAACGCGCAGCGACCTTCAACGACCTCAGAGGAACCAGCTGTGAGATATGAGCAAGGTGACAACGCTGTAGATTTTACCAAGGGTTCTTCGGGTTCCTTCGCCGGTCCCTCAGGCGGACGTTCTCAGGTTTCATCTTCGATTGATGGCCTTAGCAGAGACGTAAAGAAGCACACGGCTCCCGCAGTAGCCATGGCAGGCTCGAAAAGACCGAGAACTAGCAGCTTTGGATCAACAGGAGCAGCAGCAGCCGCAGCCGCAGCATCAGTGTCCTGTTCCAGTTTTCTGAGACCGTTGCAAAAGAGTGCTCGCATGGAGGCCATGCTGCCATCAGAGAGTGACATGTCCGTGCGGCCGTCATCTTCGGGGCTGGGAAATACGACTATCGCTGCGGCCACCGAACCCAATAGTACCGGTGGAGACGAAATCGAAGGGTCTGGGGTCAACCCTTCCTTAACCACACGAGACCCACGGCAATATTCTCCCCTCATTTTCGCGCAGAACCCGCGCGCTACAACAGCGGAGATGATTCACCGGTATAGAGGACTACTAACGAGGCATTCGATGCCGTCACTGCAGCCACCCGCGACAGCGTTAGCAGCAGCGTCCCCCCCGATATCAAACGATCGACGACGACAGTCGTACGGAGGAAGCGCGCCATGGCATTTCTACAAGTCGACGAAGTTATCTTCGGGTTTAGGCCCCGCCCGTAGGCCACGGACAAGTGTTGGGGGCAGTAGATGGGCCCAAGATGTCCGTCTCCAGCAGCATAGCGAAGGACGTTCACGGCTTGCGCCGGCGACTCGGACCGCGGGAGGGCGGTGGGGGGCGAACCACGGGCGGCTTGAGACTCTGATTCCAGGAGAAGAAGCACCAGCGCCGACATCCATCACTTACAGGATCGCGGAGGAGAGGGGTCCCTGGGTTTTGGATGCTGACCCCAGTCTTAGATTGCCTCGAAACGCCGAACAGGGGTATTTCCCTCAACATGAATTGTGACAGCAGTACATTAGTTCGTTTTTGCAGAACCACGTATGTATCTCGAACACGGTATGTCAGTCGTGTGTGATTTTAAGCAATATTTTATTGGGGTGTGCCATAATTCTTTGTATTGTCATGGCGTGCTTCTTCAGGTTTTCGTGGACCTATCTGTCAGCGAGATTATTCGCGAGACGTGTGTCTTTTTCCATTAGGTGTCAACACGACGTTGATCGCATGTGCAATGAAAAGGTATTTTACGTCTGTTTTGTAAATATGTAGACGGGAGATGAGCTCCTCTCTCTCCCAACTAGTCTAGCAATGAAGATATACATCGTCGTGGCTGTCATTCGAACAAGGTTTGGTGCAATGTGCCAGCGGTGGTCTATCCGGTGAGTAGAACCTGTATGCCAGAGGTCCGTCGAAACGGTGCCATATGGAACAGGTACATGCGACACGATGATCTCGTTTGCAAGGAGCTAGACGGCGACGTTGATTGGCAACGGAGGAAAGGCCGTTCGGTCCGGTACGATTGATCGGGAACGAGTTCAATAAAAGCCCTGAAAGTGCATACCAAACTGCTAAATTTTGGTATGTTCGACTAAGTTTTTTGCAATTCTTATTTTTATTTTTTTTATATTGACGATGCTAATAGTGTGATACTGGAGGTACAGTTGGACGTATGTGGAGGCGAGAGTAGACTTGCCTGGAAAAAGGCCGTTCGGTCCGGTACGATTGATCGGGAACGAGTTTCAATAAAAGCCCTGAAAGTGCATACCAAACTGCTAAATTTTGGTATGTTCGACTAAGTTTTTTGCAATTCTTATTTTTAATTTTTTTATAATGACGATGCTAATAGTGTGATACTGGAGGTACAGTTGGACGTATGTATCTCCCACTCTCGGCGGTTTCTCCCCTTAATCTTGATCCTGCAGTAGGGGTAGGTAGGATGGAGGAAGCGTTGCCGAGGTAGGGAGGGGGGTGAAGTAGGCGAGTGCAAAGCAGGTTTGATTTCATTCTGGACCGCCAAATTTGAGTTTTCGGTGCTTTGCGGAAACATGACGCGCGCAGACAAGCGGACGTGGATGGAACATCAGCCTATTACCACTGCACCGCATTTGAGGGGACACGGTCTATTAACAGAACTTTTGAAGATTCAAGGTTGGGCCATGGCTGGCTGGAGGGCAATGTCCGGGATATCCATCCATGAGCACCGCACACAATAAACATGTTCCGAGAAAACCATACCCACTTCTTATATTCCCATCGCAGGTAGGCTTAACCGGCCCACGGCCGTGCTAACATCGCACAGAACGCAAAGCTCTTAAATTTCCCGCAAAGTTGTCATGAGACTAATCATACAAGAGTGTCTTTTGTACCATCGTCAATAAAGTACAAGGAATACCGCTGTCTACCTGTGATACATGTAGAGTGCCATAGGCATGACTCTCTACTGGTAGGAAAGGAGTTTTGCATACATGTGGGGATGTGAGGATCCAGTCAGGATCCAGTCAGGGAACTCCACGGCATCATTGTGCCTTTCTCGCACGAGTCCAATGGTGGTAGATCTCCGTAGGTTAATACGTAAGTGAGGAAACAGGAGCCCCAGGTGACCTTGATCCCCTCCCACTCCTTGTATGGCCTAGGCCTCCCGTAGCCTTGGTGGATGAATGCAGAATGAAGGGACTTATCACTCCCTGCTGAGCGGAAACATGACGACGGTGAACCACATAGATAGTCCCAACTGCTGAGCAGCGTCACGTCTCCCTATTGAACGTGAGCTATACAGTAGGTCGGTCCAATGATAGAGTTGATCGCGACCATGACAGTTGGCCTCGAACTCTCGATGTCGAGCAACAGCGGCGGGTCAGGTATTGAACGCACCTCGACCTGTTTTTATGTAATGACGTGCTTTGACGTAGCCACGTCTGGGCTTCACTTGAGGGAATCAAGCAACGAGAGAAGAAACTCGGGTTGTTGTTGTTGTTGTCTTCACACTAAAAACCGTTCCGGTCTCCACTCAGTACCTTCTAATGTCCATACTGGTCCAACTGACGCGGACGCCTTCCGTGGTCACAAGCCAACTGCCCCCCATATTTCATCCCTTTGACCGGGGTCATCGATCGTCTTTATCCCGATTATAGTTTTCCTTCTGTTGATCTTTTTTCGGTTGGACAGAACAAATCGCGCCTTGGGAGGAATTTTCTGGTGTCCATTTTTATTTCTTTATTTTTAGAAAGGTTCACTCCCCCCCTATGGGTACAAGAGCTTACCGTAACACTACACCTTTGTTTCCGTCCACGTCATGACTTTGCATACAGATGACGAAAGTTCTCCGTCCCCCCGCTACCCCCCCGCTCTAGTCCTGAGTCGCCATTTTGTAACGAAAAACTCACGAGCCTGTCCAGAGAGGTCGAAGCGGTCTCCTCACATTGGGAAATTTCGAGTGCTTGCAGCATGGCTCTGCCTTTCTTCTACCCCTCCCCAAAGGACACGCGCTTTCTGCAATCTGGATTCCCGCCAGTCTTCTTGATTTCGTCCACCACCCAAAGCGTGTGCTGATGGTAACAGAACTCCGCCCTCTTTCTGCTGAACCCTTACGGATACACAGGTGCCTCCTTATCTCCTTGTACGCTGAGTCACCGCACGTGTTGCCAGCCACCCTCTCCAAGATATACAGGCTACAGCGCCCTTCCTTCCTGGGCTCATGCATCCCAAAGGACCGCTGCTTCTCCTGCTTCTCTCTCCCTCGATACCAGCAACATGTGTAGTGTGTCGTGCTGGGGGGTGTCACGCGCAACCAAGATCGCGATGTCACCAGGTACCCTTTCCCCGTCGCGGAGCCCCCCGTGTCACTGCTGTCGGGACATCAACAGCATCCCAGGCCACATCAACAGCCGGCTTCCCACAATAGTCCGCCACGCAGCATCATGGACGCAAGACCACCGACGCCACCAGCAGAAGAGATGGACTCTTCGATCGGAGTCGAGAGCGTCGACCCCAAGTTGACCGTGATGGGCGGTGGGCCCAAAGAGCAGGCGTCGGACTACGCCAACTGTAAGTGCAGCGGGACCGGATTTGTGCCCAAAAGCACTGCTGTACCATCGCAACACAACACCACAACTTCTGTGGCGGGAAACAACCCAGCCACCACTCAAGCCTAGCTCGATGTACAGTAGTGCTGACGGTGTTCGACCTGTCGCTCTTGTCGGGCACGTCTATTGCTGTTGCTTGAACAGCACCAGGTTTGAAAAATTCCTGTCACCTATCACCACACAACAGCAGCAGCAGCAGGCTGTGACAATGGCAGCGGTGCAAATCCGAAGGCAGGCCACATCTTCCAGACGAAGCTGTGGCAGGATTCTAGCTCGATGGTGCCGAAGCTTGCGCAGTGTGCCTATGGGACTGCGCCCTTCCTAATGGTGTTTGCTGTTTGTTTTTTTGTGTTTTGGTGTTGGATTTGGAGCGTCATTTTTGCGCTCGCTGTGTGCCACCCACGTTCTTGAGATTTGAGAGCAACAAGCGGTTGAGCCGCATGTCGGGATTTTGGACCGGAAAAGATATTCGCACAAACAACTGCTGCTGCTGCTGCTGCTGCCATCTGTTGAAGGCTTGTGTTGCTATACCCCGGAAGGGCGGAGCAAAGACGACCACGTTACCATCGGAATATCCAGTTGTCCCACAATCCACAAGACAATAGTGAAGCGCCCGTTACTGCACCTACAAGAAAAGGCGCTGGGACTTCGTAGCTCGTACCGCTGGTTGTCGGAAGTCGGAAGACTTTCGGAGTACTGCTGTAGTGTCATGAGCGGGAGCTAAATAATACAGCAGCAGAGAACACGCTACCGCCCCTGATCAATCGTTTTGCCTCGCAAGCAAACAAGACCCCGACCTCGTCTTACTTACAGTACTTGTGTGTCCTTTTGCGCAAGACTTGCGTACGCTGGAGCACGAAAAATTTCGCGATTCAACTCCATTTTTTTATTTTTATGGGAAAAATACAAAAATCATGAAAAACACAGACCAACATCTTCCTTCTACACGTTTCCAGGATAACATGCAGAGTGTTGGATATTGGTCGGGCAGAAGGGTTCGATACAATATGCCCATCGTATCGAGAAAAAACACAAATACCAATATTTTGTTCGATATCCCGAAAATGGCTCGATAAGTATCGATACTCGATATCGATACGGCTGGTTTGAAGGCCTCAGGTTACAAGAAGAGCGAGCGTTACGCAATTACACTTACCCTGGCACACCCAAACCCTTATCTGAAGTATACGGCAGTGCGCAAGACGTGCGCGCATGGTCCGGCGGCATGGAAGTAGTGGTGTTGCCAGGTGCCAGGTGTGTGCAGTTGAACATCACGAGCACACATAACAACAGCGGGCACACGTTGTGATGTGATGTTGCGTATATAAAACTGCATCGCGCAAGAGGTTGGTTGTGTAGCTGTGTCCACCAGATATATTTTACATTTTACAGTCAGTGTGCATGTGTGTATACACGTACACACTATAACACCGCCGTACGGTTGCGATCGAATCAGTGCAAGCTCGGCTGCGAGCAGGATTTTATGACAAAAAAACGCGGAAAAAACTCGAACACTTGGTTTTATATTCTCTTACTACCTTCAAAGTTATGCATGCAAAATTCCACCCACCACCAGTTGTGGGTGCCCAACAATCAGCAATGCACCTCGAGCGAGTATCAACTCTAGACACCCAACAGCCAAGAGGAAACAAAAGAAAAAACATAGCGAAAACATTATGTGCGAAAATCAAACGCTTGCCAAACTTGAACACATCACCTCTATTCATCACACGCCCAAGTGATCGGACATGAAATCAAGCACACCTTGCCATTACGTATTACAAGTCCCAAAACCAAGTTCACACAGCATAATAAATTGTCCGCAGGAGGTACGGCCTCTGTTCGCACTAATGTAGTAGCTCTACTGCTAAAACTGCGGGAAACGCCATACCTACGTAAGGAGGCAAGCTGACTCTAACGGGGATGACTGCTACTCATTCGGCAGAGGCAGCGCTATCGTCGGCAACAAAGCCTAATTCTTGAAGGCTCATGTTGCACACCGATGTGGTTCTCAGGAGCTGAGACACAGGCACTGTTGGTGTGGTGTGTGGCTGGCAGGGGCTGGTGTGTGTGTGGTGTGTGGTTGTGATGGCAGTGGGGGGCGACAGGAGTAGGCGCGTAGGCGCCTGAGCGCAAAAAGGGGGTAGACAGCTGGGAAACTGACCCCCCCCCCGGTAGAAAGGGGGCCAAAATATCGAATATCGAATACCGATATCGATGCCGATACCGATTCGTATCGACAAATATCGGCGTGGAAACCGGCAATACCGATACTGCGTATCGTCGATATATATCAGTTTTGTATCGATATTCGATACCCAATATCCAACACTGGCAGAGAGATACACAAGACGGCTACCAAACTGTCTTGTTGAGCCTGTTACCCACAGGGTAGATGTCGCTGTGTGCTGCTCGGAAAATCGTGGAAATACAGGTAGCGTTCCTCTGACGCTATGGATTCATTGCTTATCTATCGTAGACTCTTTTCTCAGATAGAGATGGATTCGTTGTGTCATAATAATAATAATAAAAAAAAGACTACCCGTTCGAGACATATCCAAAGCAGTCGAAGGGTGTGTGTTGAAGTCTTTACAGTGAGTGGAGGGAAAACGGCTGGGTACTGGGCTTATTTCGAGAATGTTTTAAGCCTATTGACTGATGATTCATGCCGGTGACAGCTGGTGCCAAGTACAAAACCTTCCCACTAAAACTGCTTACCTGCTGTGCGCACCAACCATTCCTCGCAAAATACACAGCAGTCCTTCTCCCTCTCGGGCTTAAATCCCTTGCAAGCGAAATAACTTCGATCTGGGGTCACACAGAAGACTTGTCGACGGTGCATACAAACCTTCGTTTTCTTAAACCGAGAAGAGGTCACCACGTGGATCACCCATCCCAGGGCAAAGTACGCCAGGAAGAAGCTTCCCCGTTTACCTGTACAAGTATCTTGGCATAAACGTCAAGAAGTTGCGCCACTGCTGCTGTGGCCATTTGCTGGCGCACACGCTGTCAAACGCCGTACAGAAGGAGACACGGAAGAAGCACCATACATGAGATGTACGCAAATATCAATGCCAACAACTTCTCGGCCATCGTCGTCGTCTAACTAAACCACCGCTTTTGCTCGATCTCTCGCCCCTTTGTGTGTCCTCTCTTGTTGCTACCCCGATTGCCTCGTCTTTTCTTCGTCGGTTCAGACTTTTGCTCCTACGCCAGCCTGTACCACCAGAAGCAAATGCTGACGGACCATCGTCGAATGCAGGCGTACTACTCGGGTAAGCGAATGGGACGACGAGCAACTTTTCTTGAAGCCGTAATCGAACCATCAGAATAGTCAGCGCTGACTAGTCTTTTAACTTTTTTTTTTTAGCCGAAATCAAACCGTTTAGAGTAGTCAGCGCTGACTAGTCTTGAACTTCTTTTTGGAAGCCGAAATCAAAGCTATAGACTAGTCACCGCCGATGGTTTGATTTCGGCTTATAAGCTTTGCATATGTGTTTTCGTCCCCACCTATAGTACATCTTCTGACGCCGGACTACAACAAGTTTCGGTATATACAGTAGAGGTCCCCATGTAGGGCCGGTGCCAGCTATTGTGCCGGCCAAACCTCCGGGCATGCACAGCGGCACTTATATTGGGACCTCTACTGGCTGTAACACCTTTCGAGAGGTACATCTTTGGCGTATCAGCCGCAGTGACGCAGGGGGAAGGCAAAAACACAGGGAGACTTTTTTTTTTTTGGTCTCTTTTCGAGGTTGGCTTGCACCGAAAGGCTATTGTTCTGGAAGCCCGTTTCGTTGTTGCATTCCTCTCAACAGTACTCTCGGGAGAACGACGGGATATATGTACGCTATCAGACCGCTCTGGCGCCGTCTTTGGCGGCGGCTTTTCTTTGTCCGCCTATCTACAGCACATGCGAACCTGGTTGGAACGCTGCTGCTGCTGCTGCTGCTCCACGGCGTTCTTTGTTTCGCCCCCTTACCCCCCCCCCCGCGCGTTCCTGTTTTTGACCGCTACCTTCCTTAGCCATCACGGACAACGCCGAGTTGTTTGCAGGCAAGCGCGTGCTTGACGTGGGTACGGGAAGCGGTATCCTGGCTCTGTGGGCAGCAAAGGCGGGGGCGAGCAAGGCGAGTCTTCTTCTTCTTTTCTTTGTGGCACGCACAGGGGCATCGATTTCCGGCTGCTTTTCAGCGATTTGATGTGACATTTTTTGGCACCACGTTCCTTTCGCGTGCATTCGTAGGTTTAAAATATTGTCGGAAAAACTCGGCCTTGGCAACGCTTCGGCATCTGCCTGCCGCCCACTTGGAGAGCCTGAACGACCACTTTTTTTATCATGTGTTTCTTCGAAAAAGAGCTCGCTGAGAGTCACCCCAAGGCATAAATACCACGATTCGTGTACAGGCGTGTCTCTTTCATTATTTGCAGGCGCTACGTATTCTGAAGGGAAGGAATCGCTCCGACTTTTTTTTTGTCTCACCGTGTGGTGGTCCACCCCCCCCCCCCCCCCCTGTTGGCGCTCTCTTGCTGTCCGGCAATGTTTGGTGTGTGTGGCTTGTGTGTCTGTCTGAACACAGGTGTACGCGGTGGAGTTCACGGACATGGCGAACCACGCCCGGCGCCTGGTTGCTAAGAACGGGATGGAGGGCGTGGTGGAGGTGATCCAGTGCAGTGTCGAGGACCTCAAGCTGGACGCTAAGGTGCCGATACTGTCAGAATGACGGTGGTGCCTAACCCTATTTAGCCTAGTTTCTAGTTCTGGACATAAAGGGAGACACGCAGATGGGACGGTGATGTCGCGTAAGAAATCGGCACGGGCGAACCCCAGCAATGCACGAGAGGACACGCTTTGGCCACGCTGATTGGTCAAGGTAAAAAGTAGACCACCGAAAACATGTGGGGAGCCCGCAACACGGAGTGTTGAAAGCATGTACCGTGCAAAAGCAACACAGCAGTATCACCCGCATTGTTTTGGACGGTCCACTTGGCCGCTAGCTTTCTCGCTTTGGCACCCCCCCACGATGTAGAGGTGTCGAACACGGCATGGATGCCGTTCTATCCGAGTAAATCGCACAGCGGCAGAGGAGAGTCGGGCAAAGCAAGCGCGCGCGGGGGGCCAAGACTCCGGTCCGGTAAGACTTGCGATGCTCGCCCGCTCTCCACGGCGGAGGAGGAGTTTGGGTTCGGGTACATGGGTTTGACCCCCCGAGATTACGCGGCCATTTTCCAGCAAAACACGACGGCAAAACGAAACCGCCCACACACAAAAAAGCTAAAAAAAAATGAACTCCATCCTTGTACCAAACGCTCTTCTTGTCGCTTTGGCGGGGACCACCGACCCTCGCACACAACTCAAACACGCCTTGCCGGAAACAAAATACAGGTGGACATCATCATCTCGGAGTGGATGGGATACTTCCTGCTGAGGGAGAGCATGCTGGACTCGCTGGTGCGCGCGAGGGATCGATGGCTGGTGCCTGGGGGGCTCATGTTCCCGTCCAGATGTACCATGATGTGGGGGCTCGTTAACGACGAGCAGGTGAGACTTGATTCCCCCGCACTATGTATTTCGCGGTTGTTTCGTGGTGTTTTCCCCGCCTTCCTGAAGTGGAAAACCATGAGGTTCGGGCTCGTCAACGACGAGCAGGTGAGAATTTCGCGTCGCAGGCACGGATTCAGAAGTAGTAAGCCAGGAAGATGACACGCAACAAAGCGCACTAGACTTATGGTCTCAAGAAAGTCGCCGCCGCGTTCATTATTCCGGTTCTTTCGTGGTGTTTTCCGGCAGTCCTGAAGTGGAGAGCCGTGGGCTTCGGTTTTCTTTCCGTCGTCCAGCGAGGCCTGTCCTTGCCTTGATCCCCAGCCTTGCAACATGTATGCAGAGGCGTGCTTTTTTTTTTTTGCTTGAGGCTGTTCGGTGGCCATGAAGGTGTTTGACATGCGTAGAGGCCGGTGAACGCGCTTCTTTCATCTGCTGTAGGCTTTTGATACTTGAAAAATATTGCTCGAGAGGCTCTTTCTTTCAGCTGTATGTACGAACAGGCTAGCAGGCTAGCAGACGAAGGGGCTCTCCATGTGGAAACCGTGGAACCCCCCCCCCCGGGCCAAGATTGCAGTGCAATATAGGGGGTTTTAGGCGGCACGCTTGCAGCAATCTGTTGTGTAGGATACAGTGTGTCCATAGTAAAACCGATATACTCTTCATTGAATAGACTGTCGTGCCGCATTCTAAAACCCATAAAAATCTCTTCATTTGTAGGCTTCGTGTCGTCATACTATTTCCTACACCATACTTTAGACCTCGCGACCAAGATTGACGCGTATTCTTGGGGCGTTTCCATAATTTCCACTAGGCCTGTGTGGGACCCCGCGCGCGCGCGCTGAAAAAAGCGCCCGAAAACTTCGAAACCCCGGGGATTTTGTCAAAATGTCCCCGCCCGGGGACATATAAGGCCCATCCCCCCCCCCGCGACCAAGATTGCAGCGTAGCCCAGGGGTGTTCCGACGTTTCCAGATGGAGGGCCCCTTCAGCAGACTGCTTGTTATGCTGTGGAGTTCGGACAGCTGGTTGCCTTTGAAAAGCTCTCCCCCTCTTGCTGGTCGGGTTGTTCTCGTGTAGTGTTGAAAACCGGTGTTCATCTCTTGCTGAAGAGATGGGGGGCCGGCAGACTGGTTCCTCCTGCCGAGACGCAAGCACGTCACGGTGTTCGGCCTCGCGAACAACCGGTAAACGTCGTGTCGTTATCCTTGCGCAATTGACAGCAGTGAGGCGCGCGCGCGAAATCCCAAGCTTTCGCATCCTGCGGTTTCTGTCTGCTCCGGTCGTTAATAAATCCCGTGCCGTTTTGCGTCTGTGACAAAAAAAAAATCAGGACCGGCTGTCCAAGCAGCAGGAGTACATCCGAACCATGCAGGACTGGTACAGTTTCAAGGGGGAGACGAAGGAGTTCTACGGCGTGGACATGACAGTGCTGGAGGTGATTCGGTTGTATATGCTCGACCAGCCTTTGCAGTCCGGCTGTCGTGTTACTTTGTTGCCCAACTCTGTCCCAGCCGAGAGAGTTTCGTCGGAATCCCCGCGCTGGGCGGGGTGTGCATGCTGTTATGAAAATGTGCATGTTTGTTCGAGGAAGCCGGTGCACGAGGCGGCGAAACCAGGAATACGTCTCGCATCAAACACGAAGCGTTTTTTTTTTCCCAGACCAAAGCGTTTTGGCGTTTAATAGTAACAACATTTTTTCGGCGCGTACGAGGAGGTAAAGAACGAGGGGCCAGCCAAGCCAATTTGTCAAGTCTTGTCGATGAGCGCATGATCGTCATGCCGTGTTTCTCCCGGGCTGTCTCTCGCCGGCACTCATGATTTTCAGCCTGGTCGGTTCTTAACCCCATCGCTCGAATGCCTGGTGACCCTAAAAAGGCGGTGTACGAGGAGGAGCAGCGGGGGTACTACATCCTGTCGAGCTTCTGGGCGGAGCTGGACAAGGGCCAGGTGTTGGGAGAACCGGCCGTTGTGCAGACGTTCGACATGCACACGTGCACGCTGGAGGACGTGCAGGTGAAAAGAGTATTTAATGTGTGTGTCGGGGAATGTGTCGCGCTGCTGCGGTCTGTGTCGGGACTACGGTTATTGATCGCTCGTGGCAACGTTGGCCTTCGTCCCTTCCTGCGACGGCGATTCCCTCTTGCGCTCTCTTGTCTTCGTGCTTTTGGTGGGTAACCGATTTCTCTCGCCCTCCGCGGCCACCGTCGCCTCAACACAGGGCGTCGATGAGACGAACGTGTCCATCCCGCTGGAGGAAGACGCCAGGGTCTCCGGGTTCGCGGGATGGTTCACGGCAGACTTCCACGGTACGGAAGCCAACCCGTGCCCTTGCCCGGTCACCCTCTCCACCGGCCCGGAGAACGGTTACACGCACTGGGGGCAGCAGGTTTTCCACTTGCAGGTGCCGCACGACGTGGTCGGGGGGGGCAAGGTGGAGGGCACGATCGCGGTCAAGAGGCAGAAGGAGAACGTTCGGTTGGTGAGTGCTCTTTTTTTTTTTTGGTAGAAGGTGCGGTCGTAGAAAAAGTGGTGAGTAAAAATGATCGATGACGTTACCCACGGGGGTGGCCTCTTTTCGTCCGAAATCATCAGGAAAGCTTCGCATTCCGTAGCGGGAAAAATGTTGCTGCCAGGCTTTTTCGCCGACCTCGTTGGCATGAGAAAGAAAGTGCCAGACTCTTCTTTCCAAAAGGGGCTTGGACGCGCGTGCCTCGTTGGTCCCTTCTTTCTTGACATATCACGTCGCAAGACATGTGTGTATGAAGGGGTTCGTTGTCCAGAAGAGCGTGTGCCATCGTTGAGATTGGTTGACTTCTTCCCCCTGGCCTGACATCCGTCTCACCCGTCTGTGTGTCGGGGTCCTGGCGTTCTCTTTTGGGGCGCAGTATGACGTCCACATCAAGCACAAGAACGTGCTTCCAACCGGAGAGGACAAGTCGCCCTTGGTGTCTGTGAAATACGCCATGCCATAAACACCGCTCGTGACCCGACAACACCCCCAGCACGAAGAAGCGGCCGAGCCTTTCGGAGCAAGAAAAGGCCAGCCACAGCCCTGTGTGGTCTGATACATGTACAGGTTGAGGCCGGTATTGGTAGGAAGAGGAGGGTCTAGCAGTGGCGAAACTGCGCTCAGTTTCCCGGCGTGCTATGGCGGAGCGCGGGAGGCTGGTCTCCTTTGCGACAGCCTTTTGCGACAGCCTTTGCGACAGCCAGCTCCGGAAGAATGATGACGGTACGGGAGAAGGCAGCATTCTACGACGCGGAGGCGGTGCTCGGAGGAGGGTGGTGACGGCAGCTAACGCTTTGGTTTCACGTTTTGTTGGGTGTAACGACCCCGGGTGTTGTATGTGTGTGTGCGTGTACCTACCCGGCTTGTGTCTATTTGTTGTTACTTTAAGTAGATGTACGTAGCGACTTTTTGTCAGAGCGATGTGCGTTCCGAGGCATCCGCGAGCTTTCGTTGCCTACACCGCAGGAGGGATTTTCTACGCGCTTGAGAAAGTTCGGCGACGTCGGTGTGGGTTGCCTGAGAAAGTATCGAAGATACCCACACCTACCTGCCGTTTGCCCTGCGGGCGCAAAGCGTCGAGTGGACTGCGGAATGTTGGATGGAATATTTGGGCCTTTTGAACATCACGGCTGCGTGGGGGGTGCTGTACACATATCTTGTTTTTTTGCCACGAGCGCTACTGCACTTGCTGCTCTTGAGCTCGGCACGCATAGTTAACTTCTCTGTGCCATGGCATGCCTTTTTAAGGTCTACCGAAGTAATACTTTTGACCTCAAGCGGGCCCGAGGGTGTTGCGCTTTGTGTCCGGGCGAGAACGTGGCACATACTGCGGAGCCCCCCCCCGTAGGGTTTTTCGTACTCGGTGTGACTTGTGACCGTGTGTCCTGCAGTCTATCGGCGATGGGAGTGGGGTGATGAGTTACAGTACGTGTGTCCAGGGGAGCATAAACTGGTTTTCATACAACAAGCAGCAGGAAGAACGCCTCCTTCGCGTTCGCTGTCTGTGTAGGAGTATGACGTAGGAAGATTTTGCTGGCGTAGAATAAACTAGTTACATTGCATACAATGCAGCAGCAGAACGCCGCATTTTTGCTGTCTGTATTGTATTGGACGTGGGGAGAGCTTGTTGAAGGTGTGTTCAGGCTAGGCCTCGTCGTTTGAAGGAAACCTAGGTGGTGACGGTATTCACCCACGTCCGAGGGCAGGCAGCCTTCTTTCGTGAAATTAAGAGCAAGTGTCGGAGTCGCCGGAAGAGCGAGGCCTAGGTAGTCGAAAGACCTCCCGCTCCCCGTTTCAGCCGGTGACTTTTGGAAGAGTCGGCTTCCAGAGCGGGATTTCTCGTTGTCCAACGATGGACAAGATACTCCTCCGCCCAAGATCCTATCCTTTTGTATGCGCGCTACAGTGGTTCCGTACTACACCTGCCATCCGTGTCATGTCATATCTGGGGAAAGCTAGGCAAGGGTGGGTGGGTGTTTCTGTGTCTCGGGTGGGCTGATTGGTACGCATATGATCGGGTGCAGGTGAGTGAGATTGAGAAAGTAATCCTTGTAGTGATATAGAGTCTTGCCGAGCGGCGGTAAATTGCGCCAAGACGGTTGATGTGAGCCTGTGGTCTTGAAGAGCGGGGTGGCTTTATCGCTCGGCAGGAAGAAATGAAGATAAAAGAACGGTGGAAACAGAGGGAGAGTTTTTCCTGCCATTTATTTTGTCGCGGGGGAGAGTGGCGCTTCCTCTTCTTGGAATGCGAAGTGAAGATGATACACAAAACCGACACGAATCCCACCCACCCCCAGCACACCAGGCGTCACGACGATCCTCCTGGTTAGCTGCTGGTCGTTATGCCCCCACCCCAACATCCCCGAAAACGCTGCTGCTACTCCTACTCTGGGTGGTGCCCCCCCCGGGGGTTTTGGGCGAGGCCTCGGCGGCTGATGCTGACGAACGGCCCTTGGTCATGAGGTTGTAGAAGTCGGGGAAGGAAACCTGATTATTGATCCATTGGGGCAGAGTGTTTCAGACGCGGGGAGGAGCACAGGTGAAGTGAAGAACGGGGTGGGAGGGTGCATCCTCGGCGAATAACCTAAAATGTCGCGCACAGCACATGGGCAAGAAGAGGGATGTGTACGATGGATATCGGCTTCTTCGCAATCTGATGGGGAGGTGGCGTACAGGAGAAGGCCTAGGCTGACTATGGTCACAACGAAATCAGGCGGCTAAGAATCGTTGAACAAAAGTGCCCACCTATCTCCTACGTAAGCATGCGCCCGAACGTAGAAAAGCCCACACAATGTTTCCCCCACGCGTACCCTTAAGATGTAGCACGCAGCACGTTCACCCCGTGCGTGAACAAGTGCACTTACTTAGATACATAGACAGTTGGTTGTGTCGTTTTCCGTACCTCGTTGGAGAGTTGCTCGTCTGCGTCCGCCAAGCCCTCTACGTAATTTGCGGTGGAAATCATTTCCATGAGCTCGGCATCTGTCATGTGCGGCGAGGAGATCGAAAGCAAGCGCGTCGGTGGTGCAATGAACAAGATTTTGCAGTCAGGTGTGTAACGACAGCAGCAGCTTGTGTGTGTCGGCAGCTTGCATGATGAGGGGCTTCTAATAATATGAAAAAACAAGGAAGGAGAGAAGGACAAGAGAATAAAGACAGACGCGAAAGTTCATGAAGTGGCAGCGCACGACACCCACACCTCTCGTCAGTTTCTTCGTGTACGTTCCATCAACAATGGGAGGGGGGGATGCCGCCAAAATATCATCACTCGTCGTACCTCTTCGCCGTTCTCTCTCTCTATATATATAATATGTACATTCACTCCCCCCTGTCTCTCCTTCCTCTCACCGCTGATCGTATGTCCGAACTCGTTCGCCACCTTCTTGAGATTCCCCAGGCTAATGCTCCCTACCGGATCAAGCAACGACCATTCAATCTCGATGAGAGATAGAACCCGTCGCGGCACAAAATTTGCGCATGGTCTCCGCGCGACACATTGTAGGTTACCCACACGTACGTGCGTGCGTGCGGGCCTTGGTTGCATATATATGATGAACAGTCAGTTTACCTACTACCCGGAATCGCAAGGTTTGGTTACTACGAAAACCAAACACACACACTGGGGATGTTGATGATGTCGCCTCTCTTGGCGAAGTGATAAGGCACGAGTCTGCCTGTACTGTTCTCCTTCGATTCTTTTTCTCTCTCCCTCTCTCTCTCTCTCTCTCTCTCTCTCTCCCACTCCCTCCCCTCCTCTCACCTTTTTGCTCACAACGCCGCGCAATACCAAGAACGGTGTGTATGGAACATTAAGTTCTTTGTGAAAACTTGCCTGTATTTTCTGTGTCGAACATATCGAAGACCATTCTCAGGTCCTTCTCTTGGTTGACGTCTCTCTGATGGGTTGGGTGTAAACACGCGCGATCGAAAAAGTCTCATGATGGCGCAAGGAATAACAGGTACTGGTACATGTAGTCAGCTGAGGCGGTGTCAAGGTTGAACTCGTTGTACGAAAGTTCATTTTAACTGGTTCAAAATCCGGAGACGATGAATTCTTAGAGCCTACGGCGGTTCAATATATCCATTGTCGATCGTGGTAAACACGTTGCGTAGACAACCATGTTACGTATGCAGACAGACCTGTTTTGGGGAAAGGACCAATCAATCCTATAGCACGCATAGGACGCCCGCGGCTCATCATGCCTATTGTGTGAAATACACAGCAGATAGTAGGTTGGCGCTCCACATAAATACACTATGGCATTCGGTGCTTACGATCAGATCCGCCAGATCTTCAGCGAATTGGACAAAGGTAATGGGCCCCCCTTTCATTTTGGAGCTGATGTTCTGCATCAGCTCAAACATCATCGGGTTTTTGTCTTGGAAGCCAAGCGTCTGCATAGAATCAACTAGCTCCGACATCGGAATCTCGCCTGTCAAAACAAACAAAATAAATAATAAGACAACAGACATAGAGAGAGAGATAGATGAGTTAGATGGCGATTGAGTTGTACACACGGCACACTTGGCTGCGTGCGATGGATCGTATCTGGAACCAACCCTCGTCCCAAAAGGGAGGACAAGACAAAACGAACAGAACGTATAATACGATTGATTGTGAGAGCAGAGGGTGAGAAGACGCATGAAAAGTGGTTGCGTTCGATTTTTTCGCGTCAACGATACCTGCCACGAACCGCGTTTCTAGCACCTTGCTAGATTGTGCACACCTCTTCTCTCCACTGAGGTATAGTCTATTGGTCATCCAACAATCCCGCCCGCGGAATGGAAGATCGCAAAGGGAAATGACATTGATTGATAATCTTACATCTTCCAGCTTTTGCCGATGGAACACTCTCGACATGAGACGTTCCCACGCAAGGTAATGACAGTATCCCACCATCCAGACTACACTCACTCTCGACATGAGGTTCTCCCAGCAACTCGAAAACCTGCGTGGGGTGATATTTGCATGTGTGTATGAAAACAGTACAATATACAGCAGTGTTCTCTTTGGATATTCGGTGCACGGCTGGCTCTCATCACGCACCCGCCCCCTTGGTATCAAACAGGTCAAATGCTTCCCGTAGTTCCTCTACGCTCTCCGGATGTATATCCGGGATATCAGCCTTCGCGGCCGTCTTCCGTGACGACATTGAGGCGCGCTTGTACGGTGAGCAATGTATGCGTAGCGCCAACAGTGACGGCGCCCTACAGCTGCCATCAGCGAGCGGATGGATGTGCCTATACCCAGATCTCCGTCATCTCCGAAAGACTGCTGTACATCGGGGGATAGGAGGTATGGTACATGATCACGCGGGGCCCCTTGGCGGCGAGACTGGGGACGGAACACGGGAACACTCGCCCTCCGCCGTCCGCTCTGCTCCACCGCAGCAGCGAAGCAGAGGGGTGCAGAAGGCATCTCAGAGGAGAGGGAGCGAGACCATGTACTTCGTGTATGGTTGCCCGAAGGTGCTATCCTTGCGCCCGGAGCCCAAGCCTGGAGAGCAAATCCTCGAGGTCGCGTTCAACCCGTCCGGGTCCCTGCTTGCCGTAGCGTCCACCTCGCGATTGTGCCTCTGGTCGGGCGGCAAGGACCATGTCCCTCTGGGCACCCTGACGCTTCCGCTGCGTGGCCTAGCAGGCACGAGCCTGCTGTGGAAAAGAGACTCGAGTTTGCTCGGAATTGTGTCGTCTGCTGGAAAGCTGGTGCTGGTTTCGGTCAAGCGGAGAGCCGGGGCGAGGCCGGCGAGCGAGAGGTTTGCTCTGCCGGACTGGATCGAGCCTCAGGTACGTCTGTTGTGCTGAGCGAGGCATACAGAAGCAGGAGAGGGCTCTAGCACAGGCTAACGTTGCCGCGGCAGGAGAGGTGCTGCCGTGCAAACATGCAGAACAAGCTTCCTACAAAATTCGCTGCATACAATAAACAGCAGTTTCAGCGCTCGTGATACAGCCGGCGGAGGGCTAAAGAATCGGTGGGCAAGAACAAATCGTCCTCTGCATGTTCTGACCGCACCCGCTACAGTATTAGCGCACGCGACTGCTACCGCGTGCTATTCTGTAGTACATGGTAATAGGTTGATGTATACAGAAGAAGGATGACTCCGTCTTCTTCTTTGTTCTACTGCCTTACGCATATGCGCTTCTCCCTCGTGCCTGCAGCAGCAGTCTAGACTGCTGTGCCCTGCACACAGCTATGCATACTATGTTCGATCGCGGAGCAAAAACATATCAATCCGCAGCCATCTCAACGTCCTGGTGCAAATGATACACCAACATCAACAGGCGAAGGGAAGGAACATGACGCCGTGAACATGACGCCGTGCATATTTTTCCACCCCGTGCATTGCATCCTTTTTGCATCCATGCGTGATCCGCGTCCAGAAGGGCGATTGCCCCGCCGTCGTGCAAGATGTCGTGTCCTGATGAAACAACAGCGAGCGGTGGTTGTGTTCGAGTAAACCTCTCTCTCTCTCTCTCTCTCTCTCTCTCTTTCTCTCGGCACCAAGAGAAGAGTCGCTTCGTCAAGAAGCACATACCTCCCTACAGAAGCGGCTAGTGTGCTGTGCTCCATCCCGTGCACGCTCCTTAGAAGGTCACCACACCCTTGTCTTTGCTTCCGTCTGCTCCCGTCTGTAGAAGAACACGAGAGCACCAGAAGCGCGTTTCTGAATTTCGGCTCGGCCACCTCGAGAACAAACATGAGTACCGCCACAGCACAGGCCGCGTCCTACCGATCTGATCCTAAAAAAACGCTTCCGTCACCTTATGCATCCCCTTTAGTGAATCATGGCGGCGCCGCAAACCTCAAAGTTCCGAACTCTCTCCTACTTGGTATGCACCCAATCGTAATGGCTATGCGCATCCCAGTATGCATCCAATCACGATGCCAATGACTCGTGCGACGGGTTCTGACGTCCACGCAGCACGCTAGAACGGCGGCGGAAAACGATGGCGAAGAGCGAGACGCGTGGGCTGACCCGGTGGAAGCGGACCTCGCGATGGTTTCTACGGTGGAGTCCATAGGGTCGGAGGCGTCGGCCATGTGCCTCGGGCGGTTCGGGCAGCACGTGCTTCTCGGCACTGCCAGTGGATCGGTAGGTTGATGTTGTTGTTGTTGGTGTTGTTGCAGCAGCAGCTGCTGCTGCTGTTGCTGCTGATTTCATTGTTGTTGTTGTTGGTCGTGGTGGTGTTGCTGTTGCTGTTGCTGTCTCACACAGTAGCGTGCCGTCCGCAAGCTCGCGCGCTGAGAGTGTTTGGTGACGTACGCCAAGCAACAATGGAGATGAGTCTGTTTTCTTCTTGCTTAGCAAGCGCTCCAAGTTTACGCCACTTGCTTCCAAGACGTTCGTGATACATGCAACCTCCCGCCTCCCTCAGACTCCAAACATTCTCTGAAGTATTTTTCTTGTTTGTTATTGTTGTTCCTAGACCGAGTCTACAAGGAAATTTCCTCGGTCGTGTTCGGTTGCTGTGGTGTACCTGGTGCAATGGATTCAATCGGCACGTATCTCCTCGTCGTGGCGCGGCCTGGTATACGATCAAAGTTATGGCCGACATCTCTGTATCACGCGTTGTGTGTTCTGTTGAAATTATTTACATGTAGATCTACGGGGTATCCTGGGAGGGGCAAATCCTGTGCTGTTATGACATCGTACCGGGGCCGAGTCCCTCGCCGAGAGTGAACAGCAGCGGCGGCGGCGGCAGCGGCGGCCATCTGGAGCAGGGCGAGACGGAGCCGGGCACCCGGCGGTTCGGGGGGCAGGGAGCGTCGTCCATGTCCTTCAACGACACGCTGCAGGTGACGGACGAGACGAAATAGTCGATATTTTGAGTTACTTGGTAGGTATCTCCGTCGCTCCAAATAGTGAGACAAAGACACGTCGCACACACACAGTTTTCCCGCTGAAGAGGAGTGCATAAAAAATGGAATCTCTTTGTCTCAGCTAGCTTTTCTCTGTTATCTTGCTCTTCTCTCCTCCGCCCAATATACCCGTGCGGCTGACTGACGTTCTCCCGGGGTCGGCACGCCGCGCCACCGGCCACCACCACCACCACTTCTACAACGACACCCCGGCCGGGTGGCTGCAAACGCAACGCCCGATACTTTCAGCTGCTAGCGCTTACGGCGACAGACGGCAGCTTCTTCCTGGGGAAGCTGTCGAAGACCACGTGCTGGCTCCGCAACATCGCCGTCGCCGACCGGTCAAGGGCTACGGCCGCCCCGCCCTCCGCCGCCGCTGGCCGAAAACCCAACTCGGCAGCGCCTCCTTCCTTTCTCGCTAACGCCGACGGCGACAACCAAGAAATAGGCTGGGGGTGGAGACTACTGGGCACGGGGCGCAACGCGGTGGCTGCGGCGGTCGACGCGCTGTCTTCCCCCCGCTCCAATACCGATGGCGTTTTTTTTTCGGGCGGGGACGGCGGCGAGGAGTCGAGCGCGGCAGCGGGGGGCGGCGAGAGCGGCGATACGGCCGGTACGGGAGCCGTGGGCGTGGAGTTCAGTGCAAAAGGCGGCCTGATGGCGGTTGCCCTTGCGGATGGAACGGTGCTCCTGGCCCGGGTCGAGCGTTACACGAGCGGGGTCAGGTGTGTGTGTCTGTGGTTTTCTCTTGGATGGGGTCGGGCTCACGCGGAACGGCGGGGATCGGACGAAGAAGGCTCGTTGGAGTCTCACACGCCTCCGACACTTGCTGTTGTTATTGTTGTTGTTGTTGTTGTTGTTGTCGTTGTTGCTGCTATTGTTGTTTGTCTTTATACACTTGAGACGGTTACAGTCCCTGCTCAGTACCTTCTAACATCCATACCGCTGACGGAAAACGGGTTGTACATACATATGTGCGCGTGTACACGCGTATCGTGCTTGTTAACACGATGGTCGGGCGTAAGTGGCCACCCGAGATGCGACCAAGATCACAGCACACAGACGTGATGAGTAGGGGCGGTCGTAGGCTCGTGCTGATGCCGTCGATCGACTCGTACCTTCCACGAAACACTCACTGCCTTTGAGCGTGTTCTCTAATTTTCATGGTCTTGTCGATCTCCGAACCCTCGTCTCCTGCTCGTTTTTGTGTCCACCTTGCTCGTTGTGTCGTCAACAAAAAATCCGCTGAATTTATGGGGCGTCTTTTTTTTTTGTTGCACTGATTTTGAGGACGCAGGGCTCGGCACAAGCTCCAGATATCGAACAGCATGCTCCACCGCTCCGATAGCCACAGGCTTGAGGACTACTTAGCGGACGAGACGCTTCGTGCCGAGCAGGGGCTTGGGGACGTGAGCGAGGGCGACGGAAAAGGAGGTGACTTTTTTTTGTTTTTCCTGATTTTTTTTGTGTGTGTGTTCGTGTTAGGAGCGGGGGGGCACTGCTGCTGCTGTGCGTGCGCGGTTCGTTGGTTTAGCGGCAACCGCGTTTACCGCCTGGCCGATGAAATGATGTCAGTCTTAGCAGGGCAAATTACGGCCGAACGCTTTCCAGTCTGTTCCCCTTGGTGGGGTTTGCAGCGAGTGTGGTGTTCCGCCTTGAGCAGCGAGCAGGCTTGGGGTTCTTGGTCGGAACAGGTCAGTCTACCTACGCATCCGCTGTATTTCGTTTTTGCGCGTCACTCAGCCTGTGACCCCCTCCCCCTCCCCCATATCCTGAGTACAACGGACGTGGTTGGCGTGGGTGCCTGGAATTAAACACACAAGGGACGCCCCTCCCCTGAGAAGGGGAGCCGAGAAAGACAATCGATGCGACGTGGCTAAGGCTTGGTATATGGGGCAATAGTGGCAGCATTTTCTCTTCACCCAAGGGGAGGGGGGGTGGCAGCAGGGGACCTCCAGATAGGAAAAGGGCCAGGAGTTTCAAGTATTTCATCATGTTTTTTATACAGATTGTGCTTGCAGGAATTTTGCTGCGTGCCAGAGGTTAATGGCGCTACTGTCTCTACTCGGAGTAGGGAGTTTGTATGTGCTCCCTCCCACTCCTCTTGCGGATGCGTGGGTCGAACATGGTGAAACGGGCCGAGGCAGGGAGGCAACCAAAAGAGTACCCGCGATCCCTCTCCTCCTGATCCACCTATAACCGGGGGAAGGGGCGTACTCATGTAAACGCACGCCGTAGCCGTCAGACCATTGACCTCGCATGCCGAGACGGAGCGATATGCCGGGTTTTCGCCGTTGGCCAGGGCTATGTTTCACAAGGATGACCCAGCAGCTGGTTAGTCATCCTCCTTGTTCTGCATACCGTTAGTTATTAGACCTTTGACCACCGCTATCTATACCCGGGGGCTGGGGCTGGGGCGTACTCATGTTTTGCATTTCCTTAGACCACGATCTATTACTGAGGGTGTGTTGTGTGCGTGTCGAATTTCTGTGACAGGTGTGACGTCACCGCCAGACGCGCGGACTCGCACGTTCTCGAGGGAGGGGACGATGTCCTCCCTCTGGGGCGTCGAAGTCCACCACCTCAATTGCCTCTCGCTGGACCCCTGGCTCGGCCCGGGCGACGGCGGCGGCGGAGGGGAGAGTCTTCTGGGCCCTGCGGGGAGGGTGAGAGGAGGCAATGGTGCTGCTGCCGTTGGGGATGGAAGAGAAAGCGACTATCACGCTCGTTGTGAAGTTGCTAGCTGTCGAGAGGGATGGTTTTTTGGAGGGGCGCACGGCCGTGTGTGCCTTGTCGTGTTGTGTTGTAATTTCGCTGAAATTAGTTTTTATAGGACGAATAGTCCGAACTTTTCGTCTCGCCCGCTGTTGTACAAGAAGACAGACAGCAAGTCGCTTTGGTCTCGTCCGTGGGTACAACCTGTGCATGCCGCGTCCCCCCCTCACCCCAGACAACCACGACGACGACAAAGAAATTACCCCCCCCCCCCCCCCGAACATCCCCACCCAAAAAAAACACGCCCGGCCGCGAACAACTCCAGCCCCCCCTCCGGGGCCCCCCCCGGGGGGCCACGGACGGGCTGTTCCCCCCCTTTTC